CCATGCTTCGTTCATTATAATCGTCCCGATTGGACCACACACTGGGATGGACCGCCATCTTCTCAAGAGGCATGTCATTTTTGTAGAAAAGGATTACTTAAATAAATAGATTATTTATCTTCGTTTTCGTATTCTTTCACCCTCATGGGCCGCCCTGTATATATTTTTTTTTTCAATCTTCATCAACTCAAACGCCCTGTATATGAAAATTCAATCTTGTTATTGTCATTAAAGTCACAGTTTGAGGAATGGGTATACGAGCGCGCGCTTATCATTCTAAGGGATCTCTCGCTTTGCTTCGAACGTCATGAATTGAGACAGCGTTGCCACACACAATAATGTAACAATATTAACACCCAAACACATACGTCCGACAACGCTGCAGCACCGCGCGCTCGAGCCTTACTCTACCTCGATAGATCCGTTGCAAAGATAAGCGAGCGTCAGCGATGGATATTATTTTCAACTCGAAGTTTCTTATCTCTGGAATGCATCTCTCGCTTCACTGTACCTCGATAGATCCGTTGCAAAGATAAGCGCGCGCCATCGATGGATATTATTTTCGACTCGAAGTTTCTTATCTTTGGAATGCATCTCTCGCTTCACTCTACCTCGATGGATCCGTTGCAAAGATAAGCGCGCGCCAGCTATGGATATCCCGTTTGAATAGCATTAAAATAATTGGCATATCACGGAGGTCGGAATACCACAGTGCGTATATACGCTGCCTCGTAATGCAAAGGTCCCTGGTTCAATTTCCCCCAGCGGTGACAGCTTTTTTTAATTTATTTATTTAAAAATTCATCATGATGATGATGATGTCGTCACCATCTTGTTATTGTCATTAAAGTGTTATTTGTTGCGGTTTCGATAAGCTCGCGCTCCCGCTACCCCGCTTCCCCGCTAGAACACAGGCCGCGTTCCAGTTAAGATTAAAGCATGTATTTCCCTATGCTGGTAGTCATGCTCTCTTAGTTTTAACTACTGATGAATAATCCATGATTGAAAGCTGAATAACAAGGTGCTTTTTCTATATCAACTAAGTTGGAACTATACCTAGTTGAACTAAACTAGCAGTTATAAAAATACCACTCCCAATGCTCGTGGGTGTGTATTCTGAAATAACTCTAGCTATAATCTATAATGGTGACTATTAGTTGAATAACGCCACTAATTCGATAAGCCGTACCTTAGTTATTTATACAATAGACATTCAGCGAAATAATTTGCAATGCACCGGAAGAGAATTGTAAGCATGGAGTCATATTTCCTCCGTTTCTGGAAGTTGGAAAAGATCAAAACAAGAAATTACCTACTTTTAGTGTTGTGGTTTATACATCCAGATCGAAGAATCAAAATAAACGTGGAGTTCTGAAGAATTCTACTTTCTTGGACCCTATCGTCATCAGATTTCCTTTAATTTATCCTGAACTATAAAAAATACATTTGAAAATTGAATCATCAATTTACCGCATTCACGTTTATTTACCCATCGACTGTTTAGTTAATAAATAAGTATACCAGAGTATTTTTAAACTAAGCATGACTATTCAAGAACGTACATTTCTTTTGTAGAAATGATATAGAAGTTCCTGAGTTCAAAAATGAATCATCAGTTTGGAGGATTAATAATGATAATGGTAAATAATTCCAGCACTATATGATTACCAGTGATTCAAACCATTAGTCTTGTTCATAACGTTCAGACGATCAAAGACAGATTCTTTAACATGTGGTCGGATGCCATATTGAAGAGATTATAAAGCAGCAATAGGCACTCCATCGGTTATCTTAAATGGAAGTGAAACAATTAAATTGAGCTTTTGGGCTTTGTTCATCACCGCTCTACTTTATTTTGTGTCGTTTGTGCATTTTTTTGTTTTATGCTTTGGAGTAACACTTTTCACCTTGGTGTCACGATAATTAAAACATCGTTCAATGATAACTATCGCAATTTGTGTCACATGCAATATGCAGTTCAACACTCTTTATCTAATCTTGAATACATCGTGAATCATCATATTTTATATTTTGCATCTCAAGAAGTAATGTAATGGATACGATGCAATCTTCTCACCTAATATTGATACATATATTATTCTCATGTCTAGTTCTTATAAGCATAAATCGTTAGGTAACTAGATTATATTTTGAAGCACTTAGGTAGGTCTAAATAGGAACTTTATCCCTTATAATCGAGACTATCTGGAGAGGTTGAAGCTTCTATGAATGGCGAAGTGAATGGTTTCATATACCCAAAATAGGTTCTATATCTTGATCTTGCAATCTATTGAGGAAATCACTAGGTACTACGTGGTACTACCGTATCTGGTCACTATCTATTATTGATCAGGTTATCCTCTGAGTTATCAGTTTAAATCTTCCAATGGTTGTTTCACAAGTGTTTTCTCATGTGTACTCAAGATTACTATATCTACAATTAACTCACTTAAATGATTATACCAATTGCTTACTCCTAGATTCCGAAATTCCATTGAATAGGGCACCTTAAAGACGTTTTTTTTCTGAGATTTTTTCTCGATAACTCAGAACCCTTTACAATTGAATTTTTAGATTTGGTGTTCGGTATATAAACATTTGATGATAATTTAGATTCAAAATTTGAAATTGTTGCATAAAAATGTTTGTTACTCTCTATGGTAAAGCGTAAAGCAGATTAATTTTCAGCAATAATCATGCCCAAATCATTAAGTCATTTTCTCGTAAATTGTACGCTCTATATATCGAATTGAAGTGAGATACAAAGAACTCTAGAATACTATATAATGTCCAGATAACCTGGAAAGTGAAAGAACAGAGAATGATTTTACCGTTTTCCTTCCCTACATGTGAATGAAATTTTGAAATTTTCAATTGAGAATCTCATTAATCATCAAATTTTTTATAGCGTACAGCAATTTTGCCTTATTTCAGAATAACCCTGTAGAATTATTCACAGATTATTCAAAGTTGTTCACTTGACAATCATACTAAAACTATGAATTTTTGTTTTCAGTATCATACTCGGTATCATACATATCAAATTTCAAATACTTGGCGAAATATTGATGATACAAACTTAAAACATAGTTTGTAAGAGAGAGAAAATATCTTTGAAAAATCAATCCAGAATATATCTGAAAGAGTACCTATATAGGTGACGATGGAATATTTCCAAATATTTCTAATGAAACATGCAGTTGTTTTTGATAAATGATCCTCGAAATGAGTCATCACAACAATTTTGACAAATTGATTTTGTACATAGGTACATGAATTTGTATTAACAGGTTTATATTAAAGGGAAAGCGCATGTAATTTTTCAGCAGGTAATCATTCCCTCTCAATGCAATATATGCCTGAATATGTGTATTCACCAAGGTAGGTAGGTATAATGATAATGGCAAAAGAGTAACCCGACCTGATGCTTATTATTCCACCTTCCACATAATTTGAAGTCGCAAGAGGCTATCCATTGAATAATTTTTTTATAGGTAGGTACAGCCACAGAATAACAAACCTTAATCTATGGTACAGTTGAAGTAACAGAGAATCGATTGATGCTGAAGAAGTGTTCAATGTAATATTATATACATTGCAGTCAATAAAAGCATTATTATTATCAATATCATTATTTCTCCATCTGTCCATTTATCGAATATTATGCCTGATTTATACCAGTCGTGATGAGTTCATGACAAGACCCACATATTTCTCATGTCCTTCCAATATTGAGAAATCAACCAAGTAGAAAAACCTATACCTACATATCAACGGAATTCTTCATTCTATAAATAACCCGCCACCTAAAAAACATCAAAACCCGTCAGTCGGTCATCAGAAACGCCAATTAACATATTCAACGTTTTCTGACAACCATCGAACTGAAGAACAATAACAAACACTCCAGCAATGTCCACGCGATCAGTGAAACCATTTTTGGGCACGACGTCTAGAAATCCGACGCTTAAACATATCTCTCTCTCTTTTTTTCTCTCTCTCTTGCGCCCACGATAAAACCACCAATGAGTAACGAGCAGCTGCTACCAAAAGACAAAAACACACACGATCCAGATAACATTCGAATTTATTCAAACGATATTTCACATGAAATTACTGGTATATAACGGTGTGGACTTTCCAGCTGGAGGTTCATGGATAAGGGTTACAAGAAGGTGAATGAGACTCCATTAAGTAAATGGGTGTATTTTTAGAGTATCCTTGTTTCTATTTTAAAATATAGCACTAATAGTGATAGAATATACGTGAAGTCTACTATTACCCATACTGAAATCTTCATTCCACTGCTGAATTGCTTATTAATTGAGAATTACAAGTCCCAATGCTAGATCCAGACTACCTCAAGTAAATGAATGTATTTTTTGAGTATCCTTGTTTCTATTTTAAAATACTGCACTGATAGTGATAGAATATACGTGAACTCTGCTATTACCCATACTGAAATCTTCATTCCACTGCTGAATTGCTTATTAATCAAGAATTATAAGTTCCTATGCTCGATCCAGACTCCCTTAAGTGAATGAGCGTATTTTTTGAGTACCTTGTTCGTATTTTAAAATATAGCACTGATACTGATAGAATGTATGTGAACTCTGCTATTACCCATACTGAAATCTTCATTCCACTGCTGAATTGCTTATTAATCAAGAATTACAAGTCCCAATGCTAGATCCAACAAATTTATCATGTGTGAAATCACGTAGGTCGTGTAGGATTATTATTTTGATTACGAAACAGGACTGCGAGAATCATGCCAGGCCATGCCAAAAATAGTCCTACCAGATACTGTTACAGTCCAAGGACACGATTTAGGTAACTGATCGAGAGCTTTTGGATAAAATGGCATAAAGGACAGTGCATGATTGAGGTTAGGTCCGAATTTAAAGGTTATTGTTTACGGTTTCGGTGCGAACAGCTATCGAGATCTTCTTTGTTGATGTATGATAATGTGCAACGATGTTTGTTCTCTCGGTCCATACCTTTTTCTGTTGTTTTTCCCAAGCGGGATCGAGGAGTCCCTCTCGCTCCCATTCTTCTTCCTGTTCCATGTAATTTTCGTCGCCACCGTACTGGTCGATGTTATTATAGCCGTCGGTGCTTATCATACTAATTTCTCTAATCGCACGAATGTATGCTCGTTAAGCTGCTCGATAGTGAAACAAAATAATTAAAAAAAAATGTTCGTTCGACGGATTTTTTGAGACAGCCGTGCACTGACACGACACCACACGACCTTTCTCACTCGTTGTTTACCCCGCTTGGCCCGAACCCGACTATGTTGTTTGGTAAATGACGGTTGGGTTTGTCGTCGGCGGTCGTAGAGCGCAAACTCACCTTTTGCTACTTCAGTCGGGCTAGCCTGGGGTCCGGCAGCTATGGCGATGTTACCGGGTCTAAACATTTTTCCACGATCTAGGGATTTTCTGCACCACCTCCGTCATCTTCATCGTCTTCGTCGTCTTCATCATTTTGATCATCTTCATCATTTTCATCATTTTTATCATCTTCATCATCTTCATCATCTTCATCATCTTCATCATCTTCATCATCTTCATCATCTTCATCATCTTCATCATCTTCATCATCTTCATCATCTTCATCATCTTCATCATCTTCATCAGCTTCATCAGCTTCATCAGCTTCATCAGCTTCATCATGCATCTTCATGCATCTTCATCATCTTCATCATCTTCATCATCTTCATCATCTTCATCATCTTCATCATCTTCATCATCTTCATCATCTTCATCATCTTCATCATCTTCATCATCTTCATCATCTTCATCATCTTCATCATCTTCATCATCTTCATCATCTTCATCATCTTCATCATCATCATCATCTTCATCATCTTCATCATCTTCATCATCTTCATCATCTTCATCATCTTCATCATCTTCATCATCTTCATCACCTTCATCATCTTCATCATCTTCATCATCTTCATCATCTTCATCATCTTCATCATCTTCATCATCTTCATCATCTTCATCATCTTCATCATCTTCAGCATCTTCATCATCTTCATCATCTTCATCATCTTCATCATCTTCATCATCTTCATCAGCGTCATCAGCTTCATCAGCTTCATCAGCTTCATCAGCTTCATCAGCTTCATCAGCTTCATCAGTTTCATCAGCTTCATCAGCTCCATCAGCTTTATCAGCTTCATCATCTTCATCATCTTCATCATCTTCATCATCTTCATCATCTTCATCATCTTCATCATCTTCATCATCTTCATCATCTTCATCATATTCATCATCTTCATCATCTTTATCATCTTCATCATCTTCATCATCTTCATCATCTTCATCATCTTCATCATCTTCATCACCTTCATCATCTTCATCATCTTCATCATCTTCATCATCTTCATCATCTTCATCATCTTCATCATCTTCATCATCTTCATCAGCTTCACCAGCTTCATCAGCTTCATCAGCTTCATCAGCTTCATCAGCTTCATCATCTTCATCATCTTCATCACCTTCATCATCTTCATCATCTTCATCATCTTCATCATCTTCATCATCTTCATCATCTTCATCATCTTCATCATCTTCATCATCTTCATCATCTTCATCATCTTCATCATCTTCATCATCTTCATCATCTTCATCATCTTCATCATCTTCATCATCTTCATCATCTTCATCATCTTCATCATCTTCATCATCTTCATCACCTTCATCATCTTCATCATCTTCATCATCTTCATCATCTTCATCATCTTCATCAGCTTCACCAGCTTCATCAGCTTCATCAGCTTCATCAGCTTCATCAGCTTCATCAGCTTCATCAGCTTCATCAGCTTCATCAGCTTCATCATCTTCAGCATCTTCATCATCTTCATCATCTTCATCATCTTCATCATCTTCATCATCTTCATCATCTTCATCATCTTCATCAGCTTCATCAGCTTCATCAGCTTCATCAGCTTCATCAGCTTCATCAGCTTCATCAGCTTCATCAGCTTCATCAGCTTCATCAGCTTCATCATCTTCATCATCTTCATCATCTTCATCATCTTTATCATCTTCATCATCTTCATCAGCTTCATCATTCATCATCTTCATCATCTTTGTCTTCATCATCATCATAATCTTCATCATCTTCATCGTCCATATTATCTTCATCATAATAATCATCTCCACTATCATCATCTCTATCTAATTCTTCATCTTCCTCATCTTTATTATCTTCATGTCTTCGTCATCTTTTGCATATTCATTATCTTCTTCATCGTCAAATTTCATGGAATCGTTTCAGTATAATATTCTTCATCATCATCTTAGGATATGTCAAGGCGTGGAAAATTTTACTAATTTTCCATCTTGGAAATTATCAGGTAGGGAATATCATATAGGTGAGTATGTACAATAATATTCATTATTCCAGATTTTTTTTGATTTTGTCTCGTCGTTTCAATATAAACATATGAATATTATTTAAATATACGTGTAGTGAGGGCATATAAAAAAATTACTGCCTTCAAAAAATTTCCTAAAACGGCAATTCATTCGCTTGTCAGTAACACTTTGTTTTGAAAGAGGTTTGGAGAAGTGAAATATAGATATATATATATATAACAAATATCAAATTTTCACCTCGATTTTCAATCATTCATGAACGTTCCGGAAACTCTGGTTTTCAACATAAAAAATGGAAAATATTTTTATAGAAAAACTTTTACACGCAGTGACATTTTGCGGCAAATCATCTGATTGGTCCTCACTACTCGTATATTGAAATAATACTTATATTTTTATTTAATAAAAACGAGGAGAGAAACTCCCAAAAATCTGGAACGATGAATTCCTCGATTAACCTATTTTATTTGGATCCAATAACCTTTTTCGATCCCAACAGGAAAAATCTCTATTATGAAGGATACAAGAAGCAGGTACTTCCTGATGGGTTTTTTGAAATTCTGGAAGGCCCTATGAGATCTTGAGAACACTGCTTTCCTTGGCAAATACATCTAAAGCTTTGCCGTTCTTAAGACTTATGATATGGAGATTCGTCCAGAAGAAAAAAAAAATGAACTACGAAATAGCCGAACTGCTCAAAGTGGGAAGAAATGTTGAATAATTAGATACAAAACTCGAAGTCATTTCCACAAATTTCACTAAATGAACAAAAACAACAATGGTAAATGACGGCAAAAAAACAACTACTTTGAACATTGAATTACATCCTCCCGAAATGTATGCATCTATTCGGAATGAAATATCTAGGGAAACTTCTGAGTATCATCTGGCAACACTGCGCTGTGAATTGTGATTCAATAAGCCATCGTGGGTTACGCATCTGTGTTGCCGGCTGACGAAAAATGTCCACACACTGGGGACATATCTCTACTAAAGCCCAGGCCAAACCCACTAAACATGATACATAACAAAAATATTTGTCAGTTATAAGTTTTGTGATATTGTTGAAATAACATTGCCATAATGTCCTTCTGAAGTATCCAACATAATATTATGAAGTAAAACGTTTATGAGACGTTGCATCAATATTGATATCAATATACCATTAGATAATAATGTGATATGTTGATTTTGGGTTCATCAGATATATCTCAGACAGAGTTGTTATGTTATTTGTGCAACGTTTTCGTTCCACCACCTTATAACGTAGCTAACATGTATAGGGGATATAAGGGGATAATATTTTTCCTTCTACGGCAAAGTAACCTTGTCAATTGTCAAAAGTCAATTCAATTCCATTCCAGCCATTTTGTTTGTTGTCTATTATGGTGAACAGGTCAAACAGTGTGATCAGTGATAATATTGATTTCCAGATATTATTCCTAGTTATTAAAGTAAGTCAAGAACTAAAGAAGTCTAGGACTCAAATAGACTCGAATGAAAATATAAACTGCTCATGATACCTATTTAGATTCCAGGTTTGTTCTGCTGGAATATAGAAATGCAACCAATCTGTATTTGCATTTCATAATATGTGAAAAAGTAGGAGGGATTCGTGAATACGCATTGTGTTCTTATATGTCATAGCTAGAAGAAGAACATAGAAAAGAATTTCAAAATAAGTCAGGAAACTTCCAAAAACATATATTTACCTATTACTTTTCAGAAAGTTAGTAAGCGATCACTGGACTATGCAGAAATCATAAAGCGAAGCTTGGTATGACTGGATTCATGAAGCATAATAACTAAAATGATAGGTACATAGATAGATGGTAGTTAATCTGTCTCAAATTATCACTATATAACTGGATCATACTTATAGTCTTTCAGGAGTACGGTAAGATCAATTTTTATTCAGGGATAGATCATCTTCTCTGTCTTTTGTGAAGATCATTTAGATGATTGTCTTGATGATTCCAGACAAAATAGACATAACCTAAAAACTCCTAGAAAATAATTGGAATGTTAAAATACAATATTGTTTAGATGTATTGAGTAACATTGAATATACGTTATGAAGTAACATCGATTTTATGTGATTCCTGATATATTTATACAATATTTACTATCAACATTACATTGTAATATTTAAAAGAGGCACAAAAGCCTATTCCCGCAATGTATCTGTGACATTATGCATCTCTCTGAATAACATCACAAAGTAACAATGTAATATAACATTTATGTTTAAGATATGTTTTTATGTTTAGTGGGAAGTGTCCATACATACACCTTTCCCATCATTGAGTTGTAAACATTTTTGTAAAAAAAAAACTTTCAAATATTTGTAAAATTTGTATATTGCGACTTCGAAGTTAGGAACCAGCACCTCAGAGGCCCCAAAAGTATCGAAACTTGTGCGGGGTTGGAAGAGCTGGACCTATACAGCCCATGGTGAAATCCGAAGACATTCTATAGGGCGCCGAGGTCCATTCCGAGATTCCATTGCTTTATGGAGGAAATTATATTAGGAATCGCAATTAATATTATGGAATTCAAAATATGGAACAGAACAATGAAGAATCTTATGCCACTGGCAGACTGTCTACTGTAGCTATTATACCTATAGGTGTAAAAGGGCAAATGTATTTTTCTCCTTCACGCGCCTAACTATCTGTTAATGAAGGAAGGGCAGTACCTAGACAGAGGGCATAACAGTGACTCTTATTCTGGGTTTATGAAATAAACCAACAATTAGTAAGTAATTAACAATAAACAATCAACAATTAATAATCATTAGGGTGTTTATACATATCTGATATTAATCAAGGATTAAATGTGAAATATATTATGTCGTTCGATCAAAATGTTAAGAAGTAATTTTGGTCTCAAGAATTCGAGA